TTTTACTACCTGGTGAGTCGGGTAATTCTCCACTCGCATTCTTTAAAACCCACCTGCTGCCCACACTTTATCCTCTTTTCTCCTACCACCTTTTTTGGTTGCAATATTGCGCTTTGTTGCAATATACATTAGTACAGCCTCATTCTTCCGCCTTAACCTTCCAAGCAGCTGGAACTACAGGCGCGTGCTACCACAATCGGCTTTTTTGATTTATTGTAGAGACGAGGTCTCGCCAAGTTGCCCAGGCTGGTCTCAAACCCGCGGGCTCAGGCAATCCACTAGCCTCAGCCTCCCAAAGTTCTCAGATTACAAGCTGAGCCACTGAGCCCAGCCCGATTTTATTTTATTTATCTATTTTTTTGAGTTGGAGTCTCACTCTGTCACCCAGCTGGAGTGCAGTGGCATGCTCCCGGCCACCGCAGCCTCAACCTGCTGGGCTCCAGCGATCCTTCCACCTCAGCCTTCTGAGTAGCCGGAATTACAGGTGTATGCTACCACGCCCGGCTAATTTTTATTTTATTGTAGAGATAAGGTCTCACCAAGTTGCCCAGGCGAGTCTCGAACCCGCAGGCTCAGGCAATTCACTCACCTCGGCCTCCTAAAGTGCTGGGATTACAGACTGAGCCACCAAACACAGCCCAGATTTTATTTTTAATATGAATTCTGCTCCATTGCTTTTTCTTCTTCAGAAACTCAATAATATGAATACTGTCTTCTTTTCTCGTCTTTTATTCCCAATACTTTCTCTGACTTAAATCTCACTTGTTTTTAGTATCACTTTCAACTCTCTGGGTTTTCACACCTTTTATAATTGCCTCTTAGCCGGGCTTGGTGGCGCAGCCTGAAATCCTGCGCCTTGGGAGGCCAAGGTGAGTGGATTGCCTGAGCCTGCGGGTTCGAGACCCGCCTGAGCAACGTGGCGAGACCTCATCTCTACAATAAATCAAAAATTAGCTGGGCATGGTAGCACGTGCCTGTAATTCCGGCTACTCCGAAGGCTGAGGCGGAAGGATTGCCGGGGCCCAGCAGGTTGAGGCTGCGGTGGCTGGGAGCGGCCACTGCACTCCAGTCTGAGTAACAGAGTAAGACTCCAACTCAAAAAAATAATAATAACAATAATAATTGCCTCTTATTAAATTTTTTGACCAGCCTGGGCAACATCTCTCTTTTTGGTTAGCTGGGCATGAGGACATGCACCCGTAGTCCCAGCTACTTGGGAGGATGACGAGCCTGGGAGGTCAAGGCTGCAGTGAGTCATGATCACATCACCGCACTCTATCCTGGGGCAACAGTGAGACCTCATCTCAGAAAAAGTTTTTTTTTGTTTTTTAATTTGAGCCTATTCTCCCTTGGGTTTCTCATAATTTTGTCACTGAGATAATTCTGTCTTTTTCTTTATTTCATTTTCATCATTTCTATTCTTAGTTTTAAAATTTCTAAACTGCCGGGCTTGGTGGCTCAGCCTGTAATCCCACGCCTTTGGGAGGCTGAGGTGAGTGGATTGCCTGAGCTCACGGGTTCGAGACCCGCCTGGGTAGGCGAGACCTCATCTCTACAATAAATCAAAAAATTAGCAGGGCATGGTAGCACGCGCCTATAATTCTAGCTACTCGGAAGGCTGAGGCGGAAGGATCACCAGAGCCCAGCAGGTCGAGGCTGTGGTGGCCAGGAGCGGCCACTGCACTCCAGTCTGGGCGACAGAGTGAGACTCCAACTCAGAAAAAAAAAAAAAAAAATTTCTAACCCAAAGTGTTTCATACCCTCAAATGCTTATTTGAATATATTCAATTCTGTTTGGAGTGTAGACTTACAGGTTTCATTGTTTCTTCGTTGTTTTCTGGGAAAGGGAGGTAAGTCTCTCAAGTTGATAAGTACAAACAGCTGTTTTCCTAACTTTTTTTTTGAGTTGGAGTCTCACTCTGTCGCCCAGGCTGGAGTGCAGTGGCACCCTCACGGCCACTGCAGCCTTGACTTGCTGGGCTCAGGTGATCCCTCCACCTCCGCCTTCCAAGTAGCTGGGACTACAGGTACATGCCACCACACCTGGCTAATTTAAAAAAATTTTTTGTACAGACGAGGTCTCGCTATTTGCCCAGGCTAGTATTTCCTGACTTTCTGCAGTAAGTTATCTTGCATTTTACTTCCTCTTGCTTGATTTTGTGACACTTGAAGGTAGTGATGGCAGTTTATGTGATTCCCAGTTTAATGGTATTCTTTTCGGTCATTCTACCCAAGCTCAGCTGTATTAGAATTTTTTGGTTTTTCAATTATTTATGGTTGGTCAGGCTTGGTGGCTCAGCCTGTAATCCCAGCACTTTGGGAGGCCGAGGTGAGTGGATTGCCTGAGCCCGCAGGTTCAACACCCACCCGGACAACTTGGTGAGACCTCATCTCTACAATAAGTCAAAAAAAAAAAAAGAAAAAAAAGAAGACAGAAAATTAAACAAGTATACCATATATGTGATGAGTATTTCAATAGGAAACCAGGCTACATGAGCATAAAAGGGACCTAAAGGAGTGCTCAGTCTTTTAGCCAAGACTTAAAGGATGAGGAGAAGTCAGCAAGGCCAGGGGAATGCAGAAGAATAGGGGGCAGGCTCGGTGGCTCAGCCTGTCATCTCAGCACTTTGGGAGCCCCAGGTGAGTGGATGGCCTGAGCCCGCAGATTCGAGACCAGCCCGGGCAATTTGGCCAGACCTTGTCTCTACAATAAAGTAAAAAACTAGCTGGGTGTGGTAGCACACGCCTGTAGTTTTGGTTACTAAGAAGGCTGAGGCAGAAGGATCGCCGGAATCCAGCAGGTCAAAGCTAGGATGGCAGTGAGCATGCCACCACCTGACCGGGAGGCGGGGGGGAGTGAGTGCTTAACTATCCGATCCCAAACCAGGCAAAGTGAGGACCAATGGGAGACCCAAATTTCACCTGTACGATGACCACTTATGTACCCAATTCTAAATTCCACCTCGCATCTTTAAAATAAAAAAAAAAATTAAATATAAACATAAAATAAAGAAAAGAAGAATGAGTGTTCCAGACAAAGGCCTGGTGTAAGAGAACACATTCCAGAAACTGAAACACAGCACGGTGGGGCAGGAACCCTGCAGAGACAAAGCTGGAAGATCAGCGCAGTCCGTTCTACAGAGGCCTCTGTGAGCCACTAGGAACTCAGGACTTCAGCTGAAGGCCCAAAAGCTCAAGCAAGGAAGTAACACAGCAAGAGTTACAGAACGCCAACTGGAGCGAGGAAGTACAGTAGGCATGAAGATAATACGTTGATGGAGTTTAAACTCTCAATGAGCCTTCGAGGACTTCACAAACGTTAGCATTTAAGGCAGTATAAATGCACCTAAGGGAGAGCTGGGTTGCAGTAACCTGGAAAGGAATCTTAGAGTCTTAAAGATGTGGAGAGTTTCAGATGGGAGAGAGGTCATGTGCATCCAGAGCCATCTGAAAGAGAAAATGGCTGAAAATAAATCTGGAAAGGCAGATTTGGGATCTGTGTGGAAGGTTTCCAATGTTCCGGAAGGAGTCTGAAGTGTTTCCATAAAGACATAGAGCTACTGACAATTTCTAAGCAAAACACCATGTTCAGGTGACAGCATGAAGGAGAAATCAGGAGGAGGAAAGACTGTCCTTGGGAACGACAGTTAGCCTTTCATCGTGCTCCAAGTATTGCTAATGTCCAAGTTAGCAGTGAGAACTGATCTGGCAGTTATACAAAAGAAACCACAGTAGAATTGAAATGACCGCCTGAACATTTGAGGGGGTTAATAGAAAGGGTAATAAAAAGCATGACAGAGCATAGCTAAGGTGGTATGAAATAGGTAGGCCATAAACTGGAAATTATAAAAATATCACTATTACATGCACAATTTCTCTACAGGATTATCATAGAGCAGAGCTTCTCAAAGTGTAGTAGACAGACAGTAACTGGTCTGTGAACTATTTCTTTCCAATCTATACAGAAAATAAGAGTAAACATTTAGAAACTTTCATTACAAGTTTAACAGTAATTTTAAATCTGTTGAATTTAATAATTTAAAAATTGAACTTACATTATGTCTGTGTTTAAACTCAATTTTCTTTTTTTTTTGAGTTGGTGTCTCACTCTGTCGCCCAGACTGGAGTGCAGTGGCATGCTCCCGGCCACTGCAGCCACGACCTGCTAGGCTCTGGCGATCCTTCTACCTCAGTCCTCCAAGTAACCAAAACTACAGGCGTGCGCTACCACGCCCGGCTAATTTTTGATTTATTGTAGAGATGAGGTCTCGCCAAGTTGCCCAGGCGGGTCTCGAACCCGCGGGCTCAGGCAATCCACTCACCTCAGCCTCCCAAGGTGCGGGGTTACAGGCTGAGCCACAAAGCCCCGCAAATTTTTTTTTTTTAAAAAGCAATTACCATATGGATCTGACCACAGATCAAAGGACCTGTGTCCTTCACCACAGATCGTTTGAGAAACACCATCAGACATAAGAGTAGTTAGCTTGCACCCCAAATCTAAGTAGATTAACTCTCTGTAAATACATTCAAAAGTAAAACATAAATTTGAATATTGACCGGATATTGGAGATCACGTATTTATTGCTAATTTTCGTAGGATTAATAATACCAACATGATTTTGTAGGAGAATGATACCTTTAGGAGCTAAATGCGAATGGGCAAATTATGCAACCAACTAAATGGTAAAACAAAAGAAAAGGACACACAGCAGGCATCCCATACACACACAGCTAAAGCAAATCGGGTCAAATGTTAACAATGGTTGAATTTAAAGGGTGGGTATACAAATATCGATACCATACTTTCAATCTTTCAAAACACGATGTTGAAAAGAATGACGGAGGGGGGCACAACATCAAGAAGGGTACCCATACTCTACCTGTATTGATGACCACGTACGTATCTAACTCTCATCTGTACCCCACATTTTAAAAATAAAACTTTAAAAAAAAGAAAAGAATGAACAGACAACACATAACAAAGACAAAGTCCTCCATACCCTAAAGTCATCAGGTCAGTATCCTCGGGGATGACCTCTGGATCTTCATTTTCTTCAAGGCATTTCAGTTTCTCTGAGCTAAAACAAAAAGGAAAAGCAACACTTTTCAGTTCGGCCCTGCTCCTTGTCCGCGAGGCAGGGCTGTGTCCTAAAAAAATCACTGAATAATTAAGAAGTCAGATAAAATCTAGCAGGCAGCTCAGAGAGGCCAGAACGCAAGGCCATGGTTTCCGAACTGATACCTTACAACGAAAAGGCCGTGGGGCCGAGGAGGGCAGCCCAGTGCCGCTCAGTGGAGAAAGAGATCCCAAGTTCTGTGCACGTTTTCACCCCAAAGGAGGCACTTCTTAAGAAGACTTCAAAAACAGCATACCCTAGAAGTCTCCCGAACAAACCACAGCGAATCAAGGATCTCACGCCTCTGATGAAGTCTCCCCCGGCCTCACCCTGACCCATTGTCAAAGTGTCTGCAGCGGCAGGTACTCGTCGCTACGCCCCGGCTGCAAGCACTTTTGAAATCCACGGCTGGAAAAACGAGGGCCGTGTCGGGCGCAGCCGTCCCGTTCCTCTCCTCCAACCCGCAGGCATCGTGCGTCCCGGTCCCGGACCTCGCCCGGAGCCCCGGGAAGGCGCCGGCGGGCGGAGG